CAGCAGCACCCCCCCCCGCTCGAGGCAGTGGCCGCCGACCGGCTCAGAACATGGCGAACCCAAAGGCACCCTGGATTCAGGCCGGGCATGTCCCCTCCCCCTACAGGCGAACTCTGGAAAGATATCAAGACTAGCCAACACATACAAAACAAAATAAAACAAGTACTCTGAAACTCGCCCCCAGACTTGTTTGAAACGTCCTCCTGTAGACTGTAGAGGGACACCCCCGACTTAACCCTAGATGCGGTCCGAGCAGGAGGGGCCGGAGGACCTCGCCGCATCATCGCCGATGCATCTCTGATACGCTGGCGATGTACCAGCGACGTCGGCGATGCATCGGCGCCGCCAGCGTGGAGGGAGTCGGGCTCCTCATTCCACATCAAGCCGCATCGGCGATGCATCGGCGATACGGAACGATTCTTCGACCCCATCTACTCGGACTGCACGGTTTCCCCCAGGGCCGTAGGCGACCCGAGGAGGAGGACCACAAGGAGGAGGAGGTGTAGGAGGACAAGGGGAAGGAGGTGTAGGAGGAGGAGGAGTGAGGAGGAGGAGGAGGTGGAGGAGGGGGAGGGGGAGGAGAAGCTGGAGGAGGAGGAGAAGGAGGAGAAGGAGGTAGAGGGGGAGGGGGAGGGGGAGATGGAGGAGGGGGAGGGGGAGGAGGAATGAGGAGGAGGAGGAGGAGTAGGAGGAGGAGGAGGGGTCGCCTACAGCGGTGTTGGTTAACGGCGATGTTGGGAACATTATTTTTATGACACCGAGCTCGCGCAGAAGAAATTGTAGAAAATCGCGAACCACAATTTCCTACATTTCAAGTGTGCGAAAGGATCGGGCGAAAACGACGCAGCGAATTGCAGGAAAGCGCGAATCACAGTCCTATATTTGGTTTGGCCGTTTGGCCAAGAACCAGTCCCACCTACAATGCCCAAACCTACATCGCCTTTACCTATATTGCCGTTAGCGCGTCTACGGGTCTACAAACAACAAAACCAAAGAAAACAACCCAATCAATGGATGGTTTGAAATGGGACCGATAAACAGATCGATAAGGAGATCGACCGAGAACTCAGAAGGAACCCAAGCACCGAAATCGGCCCAGAACCAATAACCAGGAACCCGGGAACCCGGAACTGGGAACCCGGGAACCCAGCCGGCTACCACAATCGGCATGAAACTTTCGCCAAATCTTTCAATTACACCTGAGAAAACCCAATCGGTGGATGATTTGAAAATTCGTCCTATGGATCTTGAGATCGGTTGTGATATTGATAATGGTATCGATAGTGGAATCGATAGAGGACGATTGTAAGGTCGATCGTGAGACCGAGAGATCAATTCAATGAGATCGAATGGGCGATCGATCGCGGGATCGCTTGTGCGATCTCCAATGAGATCGCTTGCGAGATCTATTGTGAGATCGATTGTGAGATCGATGATGAGATCGATAGAGATGTGGGAAATGAGATCGATGCTGAGACCGATCGATGAGAAGATCGACCAGGAACCCTGGAACTTGGGAACCTCGCCGCCCACCAATCGGCCAAGGAGCCCGGGAACCCGGGAACCCGGAACCGGGAACCCAGGAACCCAACGTGCGACCAAAATCTGCAGAAAACTTTCGCCAAATCCTTCAGACTCCACTAGGATCCCTTCAGTGCAAGCACTGATTGGGGAATATCCGCTAGGACCCCTTCAGTACGAGCATTGATTGGGGAACAATTGCAGAAACCATCTGGGAGATGCGCATATTGCAAACAAAAAACATAGCAGGGCAAAATGGACCGCCGGGACGTCCCCGCGACCGCTATCTTGAGCCCATCTTGGGCGGCTTGGAGCACTCTTGGGCTGTCTTGGAGACCTCTTGGACCGCTCTTAGAGCTCTCTTGGCGCCTTCTGGGGGCCACAACAAATATTATCTGTCGGCGAATTGATGGCAGTCAGGGTCCGTGGGGGGGGGAGGTGGGGGTCATCATTTCTGTTAACAGGTTTTGGACATTACGAGGCCCATGCCAGGGAGAATCACATCTTGTGATCTTTGGCGGCGACGTACAATCAGGGGGCAACTCCTGCGAGGTCTTCGCAATGAGCCCTGTGATGGAGCCATACAATGAAGCTGGATTAAACCAAATTAAATTAATTCAGCCATCTTGCGCGGGATGAAGTGGAATTGAAGCAGGCTCTCGACCACAGCTCTGCAGCGCCAATGCTTAATTGAACCGCCCAGGAGTCACATCACAAATACAACTTTCGCTGAGACGCGGCCAAAAGACATCACAACTTGCTCGCCCAACAACTTCATCTGGAGTTCGATTGACTCGATTCTGGCAAACAGGTCCGCACAATAATATCCAAAACACCTCCTGGTGAATCTGCAACATCCAAAAAGTCTCCCAGGCGAATCTTCAATCTTCAAACAAAGCTTCAAACAAAGCTTCCCACGAATTCAGGAAACTACAATTAGACCTACACTGTTTATATATGTATATATCGATAGATACAAAACAATGTCACGCGAAAGATTCTGGACACATTCCGCATGCTTTGCGGAAATTCCTGCAGCGCGGAGATTCTCAGGAGATCCTCCCAAATTTGCCAAACGGGTTCTTTTATTTGTTCATGAGAGTGCCCTACTCGTTTCTCCAACCAAGAATTCCCTTAACTTTGCCTCTGATTTCAACCCCACATGGATTTCCTGGAGATTTCCCGCGGATTTTTCCACCCGGAGATTCTGCAGAGAAATTATGGGAATGCCAAAACACAATTTGGAGAGTTCCCCAAACAATTCTTGGAGATGTTTCACACCAAGGTGCTGATCGCATTTGCCAGATTGACCCAATGTAGATCTGGGGAGATATGCATGTCACGCATTGGCAAATGGGCCCCGAAACAAAAATCAACTATCAGACGTGACTCCAATTTCGGATCGGGGGAAGAAGATGAGGCCGGCCATGCTGCACGCTTCTGGTGCCAAGGAATGCGACATGTCATCTACACGCGTGTCGATGTGACGAGTTCACGTGCACTGGGAACGCAGATGCGCACAGAAGAACACAGAGGGGCGATCCGCCACCGTGCCTGCACAGAATGGGCGTGCTGGAATGCTCGTTTGCTGTCTGGGAGGTCCGGTAGAATCTTGAGAGACCAACCTCGCCGCACGCGCACCTAAAAAGACGCCCCGTCTGAAACTGCTTTCTGGCGGTCTTGTTCGGCCCCCAGACGGCGGCGATGGCTTCCAAACCGGCTTCCAAGACGAAAACAAAGCGGCTTAAGATGGCCCAAGGCAGCTCACCTCTCGAGAGCCTCAAGACGGCTCCAGCTAGCCCAAGAGGGCCTCAAAACATCCCAAGAGGCCCCCAAGACGGCCCGAGAGAGCGCCAAGAGGCCCCCTGGAGAGTCCGAGGGGAACAAAAACATTGATGTTCCGTTTGTTTTTGAAAGGGTGTGAGGGTCTCGCCTGTTCGGGTTTCCGACCACCAAAGACGCCCCAAGAGGTTTCCAAGAGACCTCCGAGATAGCTCCAAGACAGCCCAAGAGGCCCCCAAGAGGGCCCCAAATCGGCACAATAGAACCCGAAGATCGCCCAAGGGGCTCCCAAAGGGGGCCCAAACGCGACAGTGAATCGCGCCAAGAAAGCAACAAGACGGCCCAGAGGGGCCTCTGGCGCTCTCTTGGGGGGTAACCCGCACATGCCAGAACCTCAGATCCTTCAAACATTCCTAGGGGGCATCTTGTAGACCTCTTGGGCCGTCTTGATCTGTCTCGAGGCCTTCTTGGGAGCCTCATGGCCTCCAGGACGACTTTCAAAGCAGCCGAGATGGCGCCAAGAGGTCCCGAGACGGCTCACGAGGCTCCCACGAGGGCCTCCCAAGAGCCCAAGAGCCCCAAGAGAGCTCTAGACGGCAGACGATGGCCCAAGGCAGCTCAGCTCTCGAGAGCCTCAAGACGGCTCCAGCTAGCCCAAGAGGGCCTCGAGACAGCCCAAGAGCCCCCCGAGACGGCCCGAGCGGTCTCCAAGAGGCCTTCCTGGAGGGCCCGAGGGGGCCAAAACCGTGGCCTTGCCTTCGGTTCTCGAGAGAGTGCGAGGTGCTCGCCTGCTCGGGGCTCCGACGCCCCAAGACGGCCCAAGAAGCTGCCCCGAGGCCTCCAAGACAGCTCCAAGACATCCCAAGAGGCTCCCAAGAGGGCCCCAGGTCGGCCCAAGAGGCCCCGAAACTTACCCCAAAGGCCCCCAAGAGTGCCCAAACACGACCGTGAACCGCTCCAAGAGGGCAGCAACGCGCGGCCTGGAGAGGACCCAAGGCGGCACCCATGGGCGTCAGACGGGCCAAGAGCCCCCTAAGACGGCCCAAGAGGCCCCAAGGGGCCTCCAAGATGCCCAGTGAGGCCCCAAGAGGCCCCCATGAAGCTTTCAGGAAGATCCCAGGAGGCTCCCAGGAAGCCCCACTGAGGCCCCAAGAGGTTTTCTACTCCTCATGCTCGATTTGTCCCTCTCCTCCTCTTCCTCCTCCTCCTCCTCTTCCTCCTCCTCCGCCTCCTCCTCCTCCTTCCTACCGCGCGGACGAAGACGAGGTTGTGATCACGACCCCCCCGAATGCAGACTACTCGTCGGAATTGCGCTGTTCCTACACTCAGCCTCCTTCCTGCTGCGCTGCTGCACAGGCACGGTGGCGGGATTTGCCGCAGGCAGCTGGATTAATACGCATCCTTACCTCAAGCCGTCGTTGCGTTTGGACGTGCGTCGCGTTACATTGCTTGATGATCCAGCTCGTCTCGAGGGCTACCCCCATCACCCCCCTGCCCAAACCATCCCCCTAAATCTTCTCCTAACTTACTATTTGCTGTATCGACCTGTTCATCACAACCTCCCTAGCCCCTTCCCCTTAGCTACGCAAATCAAATAAACCCGATGTCCGGATTGTCGATCAGCTCGTGCATCGGGACGGACTTCTTGACGCTCCGATCCCAGTTGAACACAAAGCTCACAACTCTGCGCCTGAAGCTCACCTGCGAGCGGCGCGATCTCTTTGGGGGTTCCTTGGGAGCCCCCCACCGTGCCCCACAGGCACGTCAAGACGTGGTAGAATGCCACGTGGGAGACGAACAGGAAGAGTCTTACGCGGATTGACATACATGCCTTACGCCGCAACTTACGCGGGCCGCCAGCGCGGCACGTCACATCGGAAACGAGGGCGCTTACGCGCAACCTTACGCGGGAAGCTTCTGAGCGAATGTCGGCGCAGCCGACCCTGTTTGGTTTCGTCGCTCACGTGCTGTCTGGTAGGGTTTCTGGATGTCTTAAACCCCAATCCTCGTGCGCGGCTCCCCGATCCTCGTGCGCGAGGCGACGGTGCCGGCCTGCGTGCCTGGGAATTCTCTTGAGAACGACAGAAACTGCACAAGCGCAAGCGCAAGCTGTCCGAGGTCTGCGCGACACGAGGGCTTCTTAGATCGGCGCTGGAACTCGGGAACGGCCAAGAGGGGGGTGTCCCAGAGGGGGGGGTGCAAATCATGACCGGCGGCATGTGCGCCGCCTAGCGGGGGGGCCTGGGACGTAATGAAATAAGAAGAGGCGCCATGACATCTGAGGAAAAATCATGGCCCGCGCCATGAAATCCCCCCCCCCCTAGTCATCACCCCCCTCTTTTCCGCTCCCGAGGAACCTATCCCTCCCTGGCGTCGCCGAGCGCCACCGGGGCGGCGCGCCGCAGCAAGGACCCACCGGCAACCCGACCAATCCGCACGGACATCCGATCGCCAGGCTCGTGGAATCTGCTTTTCTTTGAGGTTTGCCCCCCCCCCCCCCTCCCCCCCCCCCGCTTCGTTAGAGGCCTCCTAGATGGGGTAGGACTAGATGGGTCGAAGGGTCCCACCGCATCGCTGATTGTAGTATCGGCGATGCGTCGGCGATGCATTGGCAATGCACCGGCGATGTCGGCGATGTGTTGGCGCAGTCGGCGTGGCGAAAGTCGGGCTCCGCGCATCGAGCTTCATGACCCATCGGCGATGCGGCGCGATCCTCGGACCCCATCTACTCGGACCCCGTCTGGGAGGCACAGGCTCTTCCAGCCCCGCGAAGGGCCTTGCAATTCTTTCACGTGCTCGAGGGGACTCGTGGAAAAGAGCAGAGTCAATTCGGGCCTGTCCCCTACAGGGGGAATGTTCCCAAAAAAAAGTCGGGGGACAACTGTTTGACCATGTCTGAAGAATTCGACCCTGTAGGGGGACATGCCCGACCCAAGGGTAGAGAGACGACAGGCGAAGAGACACTGTGACATCGCCGCGCACGAAGGCTGCGCACCCAAGGCCACTCCGGCGACAGGCCACTCCAACGCCCTCCCCTCTCTCCTCCCCCTCTCCTCCTTCTCCTTCTCCCCCTCCGCCTCCTCGTGGTGGTTCTACGATTCCTCCTCCTCGTCATACTCCTTCTCCTTCTCCCACTCCTCCTCTTAGTGGTGGTTATACGATTCCTCCTCCTTCTCCTCTTCCTCCTCCTCCACCTCATCCTCCTCCTTCTTTTCCTGTGCCCCCGGCCCCCCAGCCTCGAAGCCCTGCCCCCAGAAAAATCCCTCCTCTTCCTCCCCGCGCTCCTTCTCATCGTCCTCTTCCTCCGCCTCGCCGTCCTCCTCGTCGACCTCCCCCGTCGTCAACGTCCTCCTCCTGCCGCTCCTCATCCGCCTCGCCGTCCTCTTCCTTCCTCTTCCCCCTGCTCCCCGTCCCCCCCCCCAACGGACCCGCCGTGCATGCAGCCGCACCTCCCGCCGCCCTCGCAGCCCCGGGCGGCACCCCCCCTCGCGCGCGCGCCCGCGCGCCTCGCGGACCTCCACGGGCGCGCACCTCCGGGCGGCCACCGCGCGCACGCGCGCGGGCGCCAAGCGGGCGGCGGCGGCCGCGGCGGCGGCCGCGGCGACGACGGGGCCCCCCCCGCGCGCGCGCGCGCCAAGCGGGTCGGCGTCGCGGACTCGCGCGGCAACGAACGGCGGCGGCCGCGGCGACCAGGGCGGCGCTCACGGCGGCGGCGGCGGCGGCGGCGGCGAGGGCAGCGGCAGAGGCAGCGGCACCGACGGGGGCGGTGGGGGCGACGGCGGCGGCGGCGGCTCGGGGTGACAAAAAGGTAAGGATGCAGCTGCACCGCAGGATGCGACATCAAGGTTAGCGGAATCGAATCAGCCCCCCATGCAACCGTCGGGCCGCATCGGCTGGCCGAAGTAACGGAATCGGATCGGAGGCCGCAGTCGATATTGAAGAAGGTCCATGGGAATAGGGGTGCTGTAAGAGGAGGCTGTCTAGAAGCACAAACTCTTGGAAGTCCACGCGGATATCTCGGATTGGCTCTGATCCCCCCAACCTGGCTCGCTCCGGAGGCGCCGCCAGGGGGGCCCCGGCGCGGACCTGAGAAATCCGCGCGGACCTCCAAAAGTCTTCGCTGATGCACTTATTCCTCAATCATTGCTTGCACTGAAGACGTCCTAGCGGAAAGTGAAAGATTTGGCGAAATGGTCC